ACAACGATGAAATAAGAAATGTCGTGCTGGATAGACATCGTTTAAGAGAAATGCTTTTCGACGATCCAAGGTAAAGCCTTTTTTTAGCTTATAAATCTTCATTCACTTCTACTTTCATTACTTATTTGCTGCGATATTATATTCTAATAGAGTTATTGATATCTTCAAAATTAAGTTGCCTCCATGGCTCTCCTTCGTCAAGGAGACAGCCTTATATTCTGTCACAGAATCCTGAAGAAGAAGTTTTGGATTGTATGCTTGGATGCCCTTCTACCCATTCGGTATATTCCGCCGTAGATAGTCTGATTTACAGTTTTCCAAATCTAGGCTTCTATAGGTGGCTTTCGAAGCAGAATGCATTAGTGATGCTTTTGAAGGGATACGTGCGAGGTTGCCATCACGACCGCTTCTTGCAGAAGCAGCAGCAACTTTGAAGAGTGACACTGTTCCTCAGAAATTGGCACGACGCAGTGACCCTTCCTTGGATAAAGCATACCGAGCTTCGTCATTAATTCCCGCCTTCCGCTTTATGGGCAAGGATGCTGCTGAACGCGAGCTTTCTTGGCAGCCGAATGACTCTCTCAAAGACTCAGCTCGGCTCCGCTCACTAGATCAGGAACACGATATGACTACAACTGAACACTGTTCTTACGACATTTTCGGCGATTTAGTTGACGAGACAATTTTAGCTGGAAATATCAATACAAACAATCATGAAGGTACTCAGTCTATGTGCAATTAAAAAACTTTATGCTGAGATTGTTTATGTTTTCTTGAAGTTAATTGTTCTCCAGGAGAAACACTACCGCAACGCCGGGTTGTCCCGTCTTCTTCGCATGCTCTTTCTGCTCAACATTCACCAGAGCCTGATAAGTTCTTGTCAGAAAAGGAAGAAAATAGTTTCAAGTGCGCTCATTTCCGGCACAGTGGTTCTGAAAGGTCACGTTGCATAATGAATATACTTTTGGGTTTGCAGAGAACTCGAAATTTCTATCCCTTCTTCAACAAACGCATGTCCGAAAAGTGCAAAAGTCCAAGATGATGGTTGTATCAGCGATCTGTTTTCAAAGGAGGGGTGGATGAGATTTTTAAAATAGATACATC